TGCTGCGCTGCTGGCTACTGTGTAAGGCCTGCTAAACTAAGGGCTAATTCTCTTAGCCCAGATGTTGCCTGAGCACAGTCCTGGGATCCCACTGGGTTGATGAGCTCAATCAGTGAAATGATGAAAAGATGATTTTGTCCCTGTAATTACAGTGTGTAAACTACTTAGCTAGGATTGCAAAGGAAGTCATTTTCTAATTACGCTGGTACCCCGTTGTCTAATGGTGGATGTTTTGTTGTTTTAGAGAGCGCGGGAGAGAGAGAAGGATCGAGAGGAAGAAGTAACGTGAGTGTGTGTGTGTGTGTGAAGGAGAGAGAGAGAGAAACTTCACGAGGGGTCTGTGCTCGGCTGCTGCGGCTGAAAAAAAAAACCATCATAAGGGCAAGATGGCTGCCAAATGAGAGTTCATTGAATTATCAGCCCAGTTAATGTGCCTTGGATTATGCTCTTTGTTTGTCAGTTTTTTTCTTCTTGGAGATGCCATAGCTTAATGAGATACTGTAAGTGGCATTACCAGACTCCTGCTGTGATTTTGTGATGACTCGTTTAATGACTTTTGTTTTAGTGTCTTGAAGTGCTTTTGCAACTGAAAGAAGACACTTTTTCCTCCATTTTTTGCCATCTCTTTGCCAAATTTGATCTTCTAAAAGATGATGTTAAAACGAAATTACCCTGCCTTTTAAAGGATATAGTGACAAGTTTGCATTGGCAAGCCTGCGTTTTTACACCGAGGGGGGTGGGGGTAAGAAAGCATAACGTGTCAGTATGTTGCATTAAGGAGCTCCATTCTTTGAGATCTGTGTGAGTTCCGTTTGGATCTGGCTGCTGTCCTGCAGGGCCCAACCATCTGATGCAGCCTACACCATGTGGATAGGCTTCTCTAGTGCAAGGCATCCCCTCCGCACCCCTCACTGTTAACATACCCCATCCTACGCCAAAGCTTTGTTTGTGTCCAGAAAGAACAGGTGGTCTGTGCAAACAAGAGCAACTGTTTACACATTAGCGATTGAAAATACATTCTATATGCACGTGTTTGCCTGCCTGCACGTATGTGTGTGTCGGAGGGAGACAGCATGCCACAGTGGGTGTCTGTGCATGTGTATGACGATTTTAGGAGACGGTGTTTGTGTTTCCTTGTGTGTGAGGGCCATTGAAAGCATCAGGGGAGGCATATGAATGCAACGTTTATAAATGACTCACACACACTGTAATGAGGTTTTGATACACTCAGACTTCTTCACATCGTTTCTGCTGAATATAGGTTATTTTTTCATAGGAAATAACTATTGTGAATTCAAAGTGAGGTTTTCCACCAACTCCTACAGGTACAAACACAGCTGGTCACCACTTACATGCTGTTGCAGTTCCTATACCCTGTAGCTTTTAGTATGTCACTTATTTTCCCCTTGTTGCATTGAATGCCACTGATCTGCATTAGTGAATGAAGCAAACAAAATTAATCGAAAGGCTCCTTTTGCTGACTCCCAAATAACATCACCGCTGCACCACATGCACGCCAGATTTATTTTTACGGGGCACAGGCCAGATTTTTTGATAGTTGTAAAAGGAGTGGCATAGATTTACTGCATCCACAACAAATGTGTATGTATTCCTTTATGAGTTCTTTAGCTATTACTCACAAGGAGCTAGTTTGTCAGTGCTGTGTGTGCTCTTTCTGTGCTCTGTACTCCCGCAGTAATGAATGGTGCTGGTTAGACTATTCTGTCTCCGTCAGGCTTTTGGGGGGCCTACAGAGGAGCTCCTATAGGGTTTCATTAATCTGGCTGTCAGAAAGTATATGGGTGCTATCTTTTGTACAGGTCATGGTGGGCAGCTGTGTTACCACTGCCCTCTTCCTTGTTCTGGCTCTTCATCCCCTGACAGCACCGTCCGCAGGATGCCTGGCTGGCTGCTTTTTGGTGGGTGGGCGCGTGGGTGAAGTGAGACACACAGAGCATAATGCATGGCAGGGGGCTTTTACTGTCCGCACTGTCATACAGCCTGCTCTGTAATAATGAATACAACTGTTGTTATTTGCAAACTGGAACAGTCAGGGAATTCCAGGAATTTTGAAAGTCATGATCTCTTGTTATGTGGTTTTGAAGTAGGCAAAAACACATTGCAAAGAATCTGGGACATCAACAGATGACATTGCACAGTATCATTAGTTAGTGTGTAGGAAGTATATAAATGTGTGTGTCGTTAGATTTCATGAGAATATCATCACATGTCACTTGTAATTTTATGAATAAATGAAACTGTTTTAATGTGTCATACAAAGATGCATTCAGAAGGAATGCAGCTATATACTGTATCTTTGGATGTATGTGTGTGTGTGAGTGTATGCATATTTACCTTTTTTTTTAAACACTTACAGTAAAATGCTACAATGGAATTGATTTTTCTTTACATTTTCAATAGTTATTTCCCCTTTCTTCTATTTTGATGAGCTTTTTATCTGGTGGTACTGTTATTAGGTTCCCATATAACAACTTTTAAAAGCCAGTTAGACAAGAAGGGAACTCAAGAGAGCACAGACCTCCGCCAAAGCCATGCCCCCCCCATATTTAAAAAATAATAATATAATAATAATGTGCATATCTGCCCCATGGTTTGGATCTGCTCCAAACTATAATGCGATATTCCTTGGCCGATGCTGCACCCTTCCTCATGAACGCATACACATTTTACACCAATTAAGATTTCTGTACAACACAATATATTAGGGTTTTATTGACCCATTTCATAAAAAATGAATATTCTTGAATCATTCTATTCTGTACAATACAAAAAGGAAAGATGATGTTTAAAACTCATGTTTACTATCATTAGATATGTATTTTAGAGTATCACACTGAATATTCTTTTTACCACCACTCCTCTCCTAATATAATCTTTATTTTAGGTTACATTATGTTACTGTACTGTAGCTGCTGGTTGCAGGCTCATGTAGCAGTTTGTGGTGCATTCATTGCAGCTTTCAGCTCAACCATGCACATCAATTATTAATGCTTTTTAACTGCTGTTAAAAAGAAATATGAAATATGCACTTCTGATCTATAAATTTCACTCCAGTGTCAACGCTCTATGGATTTACAATATTGCCCATCCATCCTGGCTGACAATATGCTGCAACTACAAAGTAAAAAGATTACACTTCCACCCTCTTGTAGATTAAATTCTGAAGCACAGATTCCTCTAGTCTGACTGCTGTAAAAACAACTGTAACAATGTTTGATATCGGCGGATCCGAAATCATCCGGAATGCACCACTCCCATGGCTGGTTTAATTGTGTATGTGTCAATTTCCCCCCCCTTTTATTGGCTGTGCTAAATCACACCTGCTCCTTGTTCGTCTACTCGCGGCCACACCTAAGAGGCGCTACAGTGACACGATGCTTAATAACAATCAAGCGTTCTCTCAATCTGCACCAAAAAGATCCTAATCCACTCTGACAGAGAAACACCTGATGGCCATGCATACCGCTTCTCATCTCCAACAATTCCTACACAACCTGGGACACACATACAGTCATATACACACAAGTGATGAAGGTTTTATACCTCCTTCTTATGCTTAGTAAATCAGAGGAATACCACTTTAACAAATATGAAGTGGATCTAGTGTATGCTCACTTTCTCCCTGTCAGATTTGATTAGGTCAGGTCTGTATCCTTACATTGATCTCAGTGCGGAGCAGACAGGCTGCAGGCACACCAGCTCTTTATCTGTGTGGTTTTGTGTACAACATTTCCTTGACTGACTGAGGTTGCTATGGACCATAGGCAACAGCAGCATGTGGCTCAGACTAGTTGTCAGACATTTCATTTAGAAGAGCTTTATATACATCAACTTTAGTGTCATGATATAGAAAGGGCTAGTGTTTAGCTTGGGCTGCTCACTCTTTCTGGATAGACAGGTCAAAAAGAGAACCTTTCTTGAAAAAATGCACATAATGTTCCTACAGTAGTCAAAGTTATTTGATGCTGCGGCGTCGTTGAGTTTGATCAATCATTATTGATTTAGTGCATACTTCATTGGATACACTGTGCAATATTACCATCCAAGGCTATAGTACGGTAATGACATTAATAGAGGCAAATGCGATAATAGCTCAAATGACCGTAATCCTTGGAAGTGGGTGGGGAGGTGGGGGTAAACATCCTCTGCTACACCCTCCCCCTCTGTTTGGGCAAAAGGAATACCAGGTTATAAAAATATGAAGTAGATCCGCTTTATTATACAATTTACTAAGGTTTTCCTGTCAGATATGATTAGGTCAGTATGGTTACATTGATTTCTGATCTGCAGCTCAGAGGAGACACACCAACTCCTGCTGCCAGCCTGCCAGCTTTTTATCTGCGTGGTTTTGTGTACATCATTTTCATGACTGACTGAGGTTGCAGTCCAGGATGATGTAAGCCTGTGTTAATTCAGTGTGGACAGTGCCGGCTTTGTTCTGTGCCCTTTGGTGCTGCACTAGAGCTGTGCAGGGCTCGCTTATGTGACCTCTACCATTGTAGCTTGATGTGAATTTGAAGCTTTGTTTTGTTGCTGCAAAGAAGGGGAAAGCTGGGCATGGGAAGAAGTGAAGCATATTTTAGCTTTCCATTTTGATATTCCTTCTTTAACTTTGCATTTTTGCATCATCAAGTTGTTTATTTCCCTTAGTACTCCTGTGACATAATTATCCTGGTAAAGGTTTTTTATTCAAATTATGCAATAGACCTGCTGAAAAAGCTTAACTCTGTTACTTTAATCTTTTCTTTTTTTAAAGCGCAGATTTGTGAAATGCAAAGGAAGGGCAAGTAGAAGCAGAAAGTATTTGATGTTTGTGTTGCCTTGTGTGTCGGTTAAAAATGAGATCAAGACAAAGATGTTCTCCTTACCCTTTAGTAAAGACGAGATATTTGTTGAGGAAGTCTTTGTGGTGAGACTTAATCAGCAGTTTTTACGGTCTCCAACAATATTCTAAAACCACAGGTATACATTAACACAGGATGAAGAGAGTGAGAACATACTTTGCTCCATTTCCTGACCTATTTGTGGTGCATCTCTGGTATTATACAGCAGCTGCAAAAGTACAGATTTACACTGTTAATTGACAGCCCAGAGCCCCGCTGACATTATACTCACCTGCTCTTTGGCTGGAAATTGATGTATTTGAATAATTAATTTGTTTTGACAGAATTAGAATGCACTTAATGTTCCTTTTGTTTTCTCTTTAGGCCTGAGCTACAACAAACAGATGATTCATCTGAACAGCATGAATCCACATCCTGTTTCAACTGAATGAGTGCAAACAATCAACGCACAGTTCACTGCTAACCTTCCGACCGTCCCACACAGACACCCCTGACCACCATACTGTAACATCAGCCAGTCCCTGAAAGGACAGCTTCATTACCCCGTCCACCCACCCAATTAGGAGCCAGATGGCGCTTCTGGCCAATCAAATCATGGATGCAAGGATTCTCAGCAGCATGAACGGCAGAGCAGAGCTTTCCCAGTTCTTGAGAGTTACCAATCAAAGCATAGTTTCCCAGGTGAATTCCTCCGAGGATGACAGCCACAAGAACAGGAAGTACCCCTGCCCGCTGTGTGGAAAACGCTTCCGCTTCAACAGCATCCTTTCCCTTCACATGCGCACACACACTGGTGAGAAGCCCTTCAAGTGCCCATACTGCGACCACAGGGCTGCACAGAAGGGCAATCTGAAGATACATCTCCGCACCCACAAGCAAGGCATTATGGGTAAAGGCCGTGGGCGAATTAGGGAGGAGAATAGACTGCTTCACGAGCTTGAGGAAAGGGCGATACTAAGGGACAGGCAGACACGAGCTGGTCAAATCAGCCAACAGCAAATATCCAATACAAACCAACCTCAAAACACACTGTTACACACTGTGCCAACACAACCCCTGTTCTTCATCAACTCTGCTGCAGCAGAGAGCCTACCACACACATCCACATCCCCTAAGGTGGCTGCCATCCCTGATGATCCCATCCAGCCCCAACCCGCCGGCTTCCGCTGCTCATTCTGCAAAGGAAAGTTCAGAAAGCAGCAGGAGCTTGAACGCCACATCAGGATCCTCCATAAGCCCTATAAATGCACCTTATGCGAGTTTGCTGCCTCACAGGAGGAGGAACTTATCGGCCATGTTGAGACAACACACATTACTGCTGAATCAGGCTCAGGGCAGAAGCCTGTGATGGGGGCTGGTGAGAAGAAAAAGCCCACGGGGGAATTCCCCTGTGAGGTGTGTGGACAGACCTTCAGCCAGGCCTGGTTCCTGAAGGGTCACATGAGGAAACATAAGAACTCTTTTGAGCACTCCTGTCAAATCTGCGGTCGTCGATTCAAAGAACCCTGGTTTCTGAAGAACCACATGAAGGTCCACCTCAACAAGCTGGCTGCTAAGCGTAATCTCCCTGCTGAGCATGACACCTCTGTTAGCATGAATAGCCTAACGCAAGACCACCAGAACAACCTTTACTCGCAGTACATCACCCACATTCACAACAGGTTCCTCACGGCTGAGAGAGCCGAGCATCAAGACTACAGCCAGGTACTGGCCTCAGCAGGCGTTGACATGAAGGTTAGGGAGATGCTAGGGAGGATGATTTCCTCAGCTCAAGGCCCTATGACGGATGCGGAGAGCTCCTCTTTACTGGGTTTAAATCATCTCCCCCCTCCACTGAGCTCCACCAGCATGGAATATCTGCAGAAGGTCATGTCTAACAGAGAGACTCTCAGCAGCTACCCAGGCTGGCAGATCATGACCCCAGGGCTGAATGTTGAACAGCAAATGTTCTGTCCTAAAGAACAGCAGCAGAGTTCCTCCTACCTGACGGAGAGATGTTTTCCCGTTGACGATGGAAAGGTGGGTCAGAGCGACCCGGACACCAAGGCCACCAGCAGGCCCGGTAGTCCAGGCAGCGTGAGTCGTCATGGGCCGACAGAGATCCTCACCGAGACCGGGAGCTCCCACTCTGGCAGCGGCCTCGACCAACGGCCACAATCTTCTTCTCCAGCTACAGGTAATTCAGTCAAAGAACATTTTATTTTTCTTCTGAAAGCTATTGTATAAGGTCTAATTTTTAATGATTTATTACATCACATTTTCCTTATGAGTTTATGGTCTCATTTGTTTCTGCAATACATCATAATGTTCATTCAGTAAATAATGGTCCCATTTAGAGTAAAATAAACGATAATACAGGGTATGCTTTAGGTTTTGGATACCTTGTGATTGAGCTTTGCTCTCATTATTTCTTACAACTTTAAACTTTCAAAATGAGTTTCAATAACTTTTCAGTTGGTGAAAGTGAATTATAACATTTTGGTCTCCTTAAAATGTATTTTACAGCTTTTGGTTGTACTTAGCTTCATTTAATTTCTGGTTGCAGAAAAACAAAATGGCAACTGCTAAAAACCAATGGTCAAAATGAAAAATTTCAAAACTGTAGTCCACAAACTAATGGGTGACATGATGTACAGTCCTTTTGTTTCACATACTTCTTTTGCTTTTTGCCCTTAATTGACAGACAGAAAATGCAGGTAGAGAAATATCCCCATTTGTATTCCAACCAAAGCGTTGTAGTTAACATTGTTTATATGGCTTAGTCTGTCTCTTGCACACCCCCTAAACTTTATAGAAGCATCAAACTGAATGACATGATTGCCCCTTTATTATTTTGCCAGTTTTTTGCAGGACTACATGTTTCTATTCTGAGAATTTATAATATGACATACCGTATTACAGTGAACTAAATCAGCTTCCAACAAAAGATTTCTTCCTCTTATACATTCTCTTTCTATGTTTTCTTTAAAAATATATATAAAGTGGCTAAGTGACAGCTATGGCCTCATCTTTCTTCCCACTAAGTGTAGGGGGACATGAAGCTCAGGGTCAGCAACACCACCACAGATATTACTGTCAGCCACAAGGACTTTGTCTTCCTTTAAAAGATAATGGCATCATGTTGAATTGTAGGGATAATTAGTACCCTCTATTTTATATCCGTCACATCCCCACCCCTTGCCTACGGGGGCACAAGATGTTAATGCATGCCATCTGGTGTTTTTAATGATTTGATATATACCACCCAGTGATTTTTATGATTTGATCTACCACCTGGTATTTTTATTGATAGTCTTCTGTTCCACCTGGTGATTTGGATGATTTGGCTCTCTGGGTAAATGCCTTTCTTGTCATGGCGTCCTGCTAACATGTTATCATGGGCCTAAATTACTGCTTTAACAGCGTTGTTAAGAGAAGAAAAACAAGCCAAAACTTTTGTTCTGTTTTTCATCGCTTACCAATATGGTTATTTTCCACTGGAATACTGCTGTTATAATAATAATAATAATAATAATTCATTTGTTATGTACATCCAAGTCTGATGCGCTCTTGTGGGATTTGATCCAGCATCCTCTTAAATGATGGCCGTATAGCAGAGATAAATGGATCAGGTCTAATCTCATTAGATGCTTTGTTTCCATATTGTACACACATACAGCTATCTGCATATTTACATGTAAATTCTCGCTGTTTACGGCCAAATCCCTCTCTGGTTGCTCTTTAAAAACATATTCAAGCTCTATTGTTTTTACTTTCCCTCTTCTCCCCCTATCTCCGAGACCATACGGTGTCACTTCCAGAAACATTTATGATAGCTGGCTAGCTGAGGATTTGAGTGCACACAGTTCTGGGATGGCACATTCAGTATCAGACTCTAATTTCAGTCAATATTAAGCATGGAAACTAATTCATTGTAAAGGTCAGGCGTCATTGCTTTAGTCAATGATGGATCCGGCAGGCTCTCTCTCCCCCTTCTCCTCCTCCTCTCCTCTCTGTTCTTAGTCTTGTGTAATGGTAGACTCACTCTGGGGGCTTAGCATCGCATTGTTTAGCTCTGACAATATATCCCAGAGACCTCTGCAGCTGCTCCCTGCGCTCACAATGACAGATTAATTAACACAATCACACGCTGCTGGCCCTGGCTCAACACACAGGTCTGCTGCGGGACAGATAGGTAAATCCTACACATATGGAGAACACGCACCACTTGATGAGGGTTTAATAACAGGGATAAGTTTTTTCGGAGGTGGGGGGGGGGGTTGTAACTGATCAAGTCTGTCTGTCTCGATTGTTGGACGTGGAGGAAGAGAGAGCGAGTGTTTTCTAATTCAGGAGAGCGGAGATGCTGAGGAAGAATTACCACTGCCAGATGTTCAGCTTGAGGAACATTGATTAGTCCAGAATTACTGGCTGCATTATTCATAGTCAGCCTATGGTGGTCATGAAGTTATTGATGTTCTCAATATGGATAGCAAATATAGTACAGTCGTGGCTGTCAGAGTGAGAGACGGCTTCTTTGCTCGATACATCCAGACACAGTGCTGGATTTAGATTTTGAACTACAAATACCCGGCATCTTAAATTAGAAATCGCACTTTGATTTCAATAGAAGGCGTGTGTTGCAAATTACTTCTCTCAATATCTCATCAGGACAGATATGAAGATGCACTTTGACTTTAATTATAATCTGAGATTAAGACTAACGACGTCTTCTTAAAATGATAAACTAATGAAGGGTGCATGCTTGAGGCCTCTGACCTACATTGAGCCGGTTAGATCCCTGCTCAGAATGAAAAACATGCCTAACAAACATAAAATGCTCTGACAGTTATTAATTAGTCCCATTCAATACTCTTAACCTCAAGGTCAGTGAGCAGACACCATGTAATGATGTTGTCCCCACATGTGTTTTGTCTCTTATTCCATGCTTTTACACTTATTTTACTGTAAGCGTTACAGCTACGAGAGCCTGGAATGATAAGCGTCTGTAAAAGGTTGATTGGTAATATGAGCAGCAGTTCACCCAGAAACATAGATAAAGCAAGCTGCTGTACAGAGTATCACTTTTTAATGTGGATGTTCTGGTTACATCCTTCTATTATTTGCAACTGCTGACAGTAAAAGCATTTTATAACCAAAGATTTCCTAATCTAACAAATTCTGCTCTCATTCAAAGATCACACTCTTTCTGACTGGGTTGTCTAAACTGATTACCTGTTGGCTTTCCTGTCTCACTCTCACTTCTGTCTTTTAATCCTCTTTTTAATTATTATTGCAGATATGAGGCTCAAATTAAGCTCAAAATGCTTGTTTTCCTAGCATGCAGATAAAAAGATTTACCCAGGGAGTTCTGAACACCTGCCTTGAAATATTGTTCCACCGTCTCCTGAATGCCATTTGGCTTAATTGACTTGGAAACGTCCCAAATGCGTCATTGACTATGTGGTCTAATTAATATTAATAATATATGCTATTATAAACATCAAAGAACATCTGGTGCCCCTGTTTTTCTCACCAGTCTTGTGTGTGACTCTCTCGCTCTCACTCTGTTTCATCTTAAACCAAACCAGCCACCATGTATCTGTGCTTTGCATTTTCAGGTGCCTGATTGCATATAGAAAGAGCCAAAACCTCACTGTGTAGAGTTTGATAACTACAATATACCTGCCAAATGCCTAAGTAAGCATATAGTATGTGAGCCCGTGATTGCATTGACGGTGATGTATGGTTGTAAATCTTAAAGCCTATTTCCATATGAAATGAATCACTCGGCCAAGCCCAGCTGCATGCTTTTTCCAAAGACACGGCTCACTTGAAGCATTTATTTATTTATTTACCTTTTTCCTCTGCCTTGTACATCCAGTAAGGGCGGATAACTCATACGCATCACTTCATTAAATGCTATGTGTTAGGTGAGAGAGGCTGGGGTTTGTAATGATGCAGTAATTGGAGTTTTGGTTGATAAATCTAAGCTCTAAAATGACTCCCCTCACATAATGTGAGCCTCGGCAGTGTAAGTAAATCTTAAACTGATTAAGTTAGCATGAACCAGGCAATCACAAAGATGGCACCCATCCAAATGAAGAGGGAAAAAAAGGGCAGAGTCTTCATTCTTTGTATTGTTTTACAGCTCTCATGTAGGCTGGCAAATGGGTCCACGCTGAAAGATGAGGTCAGATATGTGTTTTCTGCATTTGGAGCTGGCCGGTAATGTCATCGTAATTTAAACCGCAGAATAATTTAGATATATGACGTGCGTCTGAAAGAGTTCCATTAAGCTGTTTGGATTTTTTTGTCTCTTACTGGAGACGAGGGTGTGGCACTGTTGAAGTCTCTTTCCCGCTCTTGCACGCCCACGCACGTCGCCACGCACATTCAATGTATGCAGACATTAAATAAAACATGCACGCGCACGCACGCACATGCACACACACACACACACACACACACACACACACACACACACACACACACACACACACACACACTCTGACATACAGTACAAACAGGGGTGACTGCATTCTGTCAGGGGCACGGATTTGCCATTTCAGCAGTGATTTTTCAATTTCATTAGGTTCAGCTCTATTTAGTTAATATGTGGCTGATATTTTATGGGTTTGTGCATTTGAAATAGTAAAAAAAAATCTTCTTTTACTACTGTTCACCTCACAAAAGCGGGGTTTTCTATTAAAGTTGGAAACAAAGTGAAGTAACAACTACAGATCATTAGATTTATATTTACCTCAGAGCATTGCCTCAGGGTCAGATCCTGAGGTATATGAAATTGATATTTCTCTGGCGGGGATGAATCACTGTTGTAACTCAGATATTAGTCCATTAAAGAAGAACAATAAGGCATCAATATGCATAGAATTAAATTAATGGTGGTGGGTTTATCTCCCTATCCCAGACGCATCCCTAAAAGACACAGTATAATGTATGACCTGACCTTCAAATGCCAGGAGAGTGTTGGGCAATAAACTGCCAATATTTGTGGCTTAATGGCGTCGGATGACTTTTACTGTAATTGGAATGGCAGGGAAACAGCTGGGCTGTTTAAAGACAGTGCAAGGCTGAGGTCTTAGACAATCACTAACTCAAAAATGGTCACATGCAGTGTGTTTAACCCTGAAGGGAGTTTCTGTGATAGCTAATGATTAAACTGTAGGTAAACAGAGGGAAGAAGATTTAAATTACCTTTAATTAAAAGTTATGGTGAGCAAGATCAAATCTTGTCTCCAGATGGATATTTGTCATAGGCTAAAAGGAGAAAAATTACCCTCAATCATTCCTCACAATAATACACTTTGTACTTTTTGAATTATGGCTCAGACACACCATTTTTCAAGTATGAAGCAAAAATAAACTCAGCTACAGTACGTGGTGCGGTTAATCAGAACAGCTCACATGTTGGACGTTATTTTGACTGGGGAACCCACTTACTGGTTTTGATGGAATGAGGTTCTTGTCTGCGACATCTGCCTTATTCTAGTTGCTTTGAATTTGACTGTTTATTATTTCTGGAAGAATCTTGTTTGGTGTTAACATCTTTGGGTGTATTTATTGCACATGGTGGTGGCGTCCATACTGTAAAATGATGGATCACTGGAGCTGAAAGCTGATTACAAGCTTGATTTACTGCAGGGCAGCCCTTAAATCATTCAACTCAGCCTGGTGTGGGATTGCAACATTTTTCATGTTTAGACATCGGTTGTTGGTACATACTTTTCTCAGAACAGAACGCTCAGTATATGCCTCATATAAACATTGTTTCCTAATTTGATTTGGATTGTATTATGTCTTTGTTGTTCTTGTCTGTGTTAGGTGAGAAAGTCTACAGGTGTCCGGTCTCCAGTGACTTCACTGCTGCACAGACAGCCTCCCTCAGCTTCCATCTGGATCGCTACCACTTCCCCCACTGGCAAAACAGCAGGGATCTTTCATCTCCACTGCAGCCCACCAGCAGCAGCAGCAGCAGCAGCAGCTCCAGCCCCAACCCCAACCCCAAGCTCAGACCTCGTTCCAGGGAAGGCTGGAGCCCGGCCCAGTACCTTGGCTTGGAGAACCACAGTGAAAACGCCCTGCTCATCAACAAGCAGCCCGACATCACTGACAAAGACGCAGGTGTAGACACCTCTTTATCTGCTCCAACCAGGAAGTCCCAGTACGAGCCTTTAGACCTGTCTGTCAGGCCAGACTCTGTCATGTCTCATTCAGGGATGTCTCCGGCTGAACTGCTTCAGATGGCTAGCGTTTTCAGTAATGGACTCTCCTCCTCCCTGGCCCGAAGGCTACAAAGTTACTCTAATGCTGCAGCTGAACTCGGAGTGAAGCCCGCATATCAGTGTGACCTTTTGGTGCAGGGAATAAAGGGAGAGATGAACGCGCTGAGTGCTGGCTCCACAGGTCACAACGGTGAAGGTGAATTTGAGAAATCTGAGCAAGGGAGGGATGATGAAAATGATGATGCTGCCAAGTGGAAGGTCCTGAAAAATAATATCCTCGAGCCCGAAGAGATGGGAGAGGCTGATTTCCAGATTCCAGGAGAAAAGAAGCATGAGAAGGCGGGACCTTGGGGCAGAGCAGTGGTTGAATCTCCCATCTCCTCTCTGGAGAACCTGACTCCAGGACAGGCAGATCATCTCCAGCACCAGGGCGGCCTGCTCTCCTACCTCAGGTCCCAGGGGAACATGAGCAGCACACACAACGTCAGTCTGAACGATGTGGGGAGCATGGAGACAGATGTTGCATCAGGTGAGCATCGGCTTATGTATCATGTATGTTAAATGCAGCTGTCACTGAAGTAAAGCCAGGGTTGCCTTCGGATTTGAAAGTATCTATTGCCATCTAGTGGACAAAGACGGGTCCATTATTTTTTCTTTCATCTTGTTATCTCCTTTCAGATCCTTTGTACCAACCCATGTCAATGTGACTGCAGATGGCCATATAACAATAATACAATTGCTTAACTTAATTGTATATATAAGTGGCTGCCTAGCATGCATGACATTGTGAGCCACAAGGATGCTGCCACCTCAAAAAAAAGTGTTTGGCAGAATCTCCACCCTCACCTGTCACAGTAAGTGTGAAGAGCGAGTGTGAGTGTGTGAGAATAAATCCTGCCAATTACAAACAACACCCTTCCTTTATAGCACTTATGTTTTTTCCTTCATCCCAGTTCGTATCTCTGATCTCAAATAGGGGCTAAAGAAGACACAGGTGTGTGGCACTGATTACCCCCACACTTTAAAGGATGATATAATCTCCTTGTGTGATAGGTTACAAATCACCCAAGCCAATGGAAGCCCACTGATGGAGAGGCTTAAGCTCTTGTGCTGGTGTGATATGCTTGCTGAGTGCAGATTTAATAATGCTGTCTCTCAAGAGAGGGAATCCAACAGCTGGGGTCTTTGATATGCATGTATTATGAGTGCAACATGATACACCTTCCCTCTGATCCCCCTCTTATTCAGAAACTCAATATGTGCATGTGAAAGACAGGAAAGTGCCTGTCAACTCCATTAGGGATTAACATCTGTTCCCTTTCTTTATGATTCTAACAGCAAGATGTAGTTTTCTATTTGATTGTACAGATGGTTATTATAATATGCCGAAAAGCAGCCCTCTCCTTCAACTCATGTCATGGAGATTGTGCTGTTTATGTTTCTTCCACCCTTTTATTGCGTATAAAGTAGTTTTAATTACAAATCAGATCAAAAGCTGTATGTTTTGAGTCGTCGTCTTTGAGGGAACCTTATGTTTTATATTTCTTGTTTTGGTGTCGCAGCAATGATAGCAATGTTTTTAGTTTTTGGTTTGGAGTTATTTAAAGCATCCCTTCCCTTTTGATTGCTGCAGAATTATCTTCCATATTTTGTTTTCCTCCCTGAGAAGAAGAAGACACAGTAGACACAATAAACACCTGTCAGTCAAACTGGACATTGAGACGAGTATGTGACATTGAGAGTCCATCGAGCGTCCTCCAAAACTGAACTAAGCAGGTGGCCCGGCAGCCTGTCCTGTCTGCAGTGCTGACCAGGTGGCTTTGTCATGGGGCTGTCTCCTGTTGCCCCCATCCTCACCATACTGTATGGCACGTCGAGTGGCATGGTGACATATTGCCGGGCAGTTTGGACATGGAGTGATGTGTTTGTGATGACAGTTCAGGTCGGCTCCAATGTGCCAGCAGTGGTAATTGGCCAGATGGTGACCTCTGGTTGAACCTGTCTGCATGCTCATTAGTCTCACTGACCCCTCCCTTGTGTTTTTAAACAAAAACTCCCATCTCTGCACTGCTTTGACTTCACCACTAGATGGCCACATTTACCACTCTAACGGTTAAGCTGTGGTAAAGCCTCAACATCTTCCTGTACCAGGTGTTTAACATGCTTTCATTTTTCTCAGGAATAATTAGGGCAACTATTTGTGTGGCACCACAGATGCCTTGAGGTTCAGAGTGTTATCTAACTTTAAACAAGTTCACCTAAACCTGCTGTTTCTTCTGCGACATCAGAGCAGGCCTCTCAGGCTCATGAGAACAAGTGAATATGAGAAGATCGATAAAGAAAGGATTAAGAATGAAACAGAGGGCAGAGAGAAAGGAAAGGCCCTGATTTGAAAGGTTGAAAGGGGTGAGTCATTATCTCATTGTCTGACCTCTGTGTACCCTCCGCGGAGAGGGTGACAAGAGAGCGAGAGAAAACGCAAGAGAAAAGGAGCGAGAAAGATCACCATAGATGGAGATAGATGGAGCGACAGCGAGGTGAAAGAGGAGCGGTAGTGCGGCTGTCTCCATGAGCAGATGTCGTTTGAGGGCAACGAGAGGGCAGCGCGGCCTGCCTTTGTGCCTTGCTTCTCCCTATAGAGATAATGAAGGGTGGAGCTCTGGGAAGGATGTGCAGTCATCACTCACTGTCTGTGTGCCATCAGAGCTCAGCCCTGTGTCATCCGTCACCATTCAGCTCCTCTGGCCCCCGTCGGCCCCGCCACTGTCATCATGGTCATTATCTCAGCCTGTGACACACAACACTCCCACCACACACAGACACAGACACAGACACAGACACACACACACACACACACACACAACACACACACACACACACACACACACACACACACACACACACACACACACACACACACACACACACACACACACACACACACACACACACACACACACACACACACACACACACACACATACTGGAATACATATAAATGTACAAACACAACAAATGATGCACCTTACCTATAGGGCAGACTATAGTTTTACAATTCAAATACCAAAATAAAACTTTTGACACCGTTCTTTCACACAAAAGAAGCCACAGTTCTAAAATGTGGGTTGAACACAGAAGGGTCAAAACAAATGTGGCAAACTGCTGCCTACTTGATGTTTAGTACTGCACTACACTATACTGTCACAGCTCTACTTATTGCAAGGGTACTACCTTGTACTTTAAGGAGTAGTGTGAAGAAACCACTCTCATATCTGTCAAATAAATATGAAGCTTAGCCAGGAGAAGGTTTGCATAGCTACCATAAAGCCTGGGAACATGGTAACAGCTAGACTATATATTTTAAGAATTTGTACACAAATCTAAAAGTAAAAATAACACCTTATAGTTTTACAGAGAGCTACTACTCAAACTATCCATTGTAAACATCCATCACAGTTTGTAGACTGCCTTCCTGGTTGATATTTGACCTAGCATACAGACTAGTTATGGGCACACACATTTCCTGTGATTTTCCCCTGATAATCAGGCTGTATTGTTAGCTTGTTTACAATCTGTCTGATTGTCTGACTGCCCGTGTTTCTTGTCTGACTTCGTTATAGTGATGTTGCCGTGTTCCCAGATCTCAGCAATTGCTTTGGTGAGTATAATGTTATCATAATAGATGCAAATGATGGCCCAGAATTACACAGGGCCCCAGTTTTATTAAACAAGAACTGTCATTTAATACAGTTCAATGTCAGCATCGTGAAGAGTCAAAGTCAGTAATCACTCATTCTGTTTTTCTTCCTTCACTCTTTCTCTCAACACCACACAATCCTACCCCTCTCATTTCCTGTTCGGTCTATTTGTGCATCTGTGTACGTGTGTGCGTGTGTGTTTGTGTGTTTGTGTGTGTGGCTGTTCTGAAGCTATGGCCCGAGCAGCCTATGAATGGAAGATCATGTGGTGAAGAGATGGATGGCTCTGAGCCCACTGCTGTCTCCTCTAATTGTAAAATATTAGTTACATTAGACTTTGGCCTGTGATTAATGGAACTTATTTGGAGGTTGCCCTCTCCTGGACCTCCCCTCTCCTCTGGTGGGAGGGAAGAAAGAACTGCAGACCCAGGGAGACGAGAAGGGAGAGAAAGAAAGAAAGGCGAAGGAGAGGAGGGGGGAGACAAGCAGGGCAACAAGCGACTGATGTCGACGCAAGACCTTTTGGCTTATTATTAACTGACGTTATAAGAGTGTAATGGGCTACAGGATTGTTCATGTCCTGTGAGTGCATTTACAAGATTTGAACAAGATTGAGGGAAATCTGTTCATTCAAGTTACAATGTAACAGTTGAATGTGGGAAAGTAGGATTTGTTCAGTTCCCTACATGTTTATTTTTAAAAGAGCAATTGAATCAGATTAAGAGATGCAGAAGGGACTGCATGGTAACTCAATGGTTTCAGCGCAAGCCACATTATCCCAGTTTCATTTCCAGCCTTCGATCCTTTGTTGAATATCATACCCATCTCTATCTCTCATTCTTTTCAGTTTATTGTTTCATCCGTCAAATAAAGGCAAAAATGACCAAACAATTGGTTACACACAGGTCCAGTGCATAGGATTTGGTGGCATCTAGTGGATAGGTTACCCCTCCACTCACTCACTCACTCAGTGGAGACTCTGAGAACTAGGTGGAATTCATATAATGTAAAAAACAAGTTATGTTCTCTGCAACTGTAGGACATGGAGGTGTAACACGGTAAACACAAATCAGTTTCAGTTGATCAAACACTTATTATTTCCGTTTTTGTAAATAGATCTCCCCATCTTACATGCTCATCTTTAAAGAGAGGCACATAATCAGGGATGCTTGTCTTTTACTGTTCATTCCTATATCCTGTTTATTCCACTTCCATTGATTGAGGTTTGGAGACGGTGAAGTGAGATGGTTGGAGATTAACACTAAACTGCTCTGTACCTGGATTGTGACAAAGCTTCTCTTTCACCATTGTTCCTACCAGACGGCTCACACACACACACACACACCACACACACACACACACACACCACACACACACACACACACACACACACACACACACACACACACACACACACACACACACACACACACCCTCTGTGCCATCCTGATGATATTCAGATGTGTCAGGCATTATCCTCTCTCTGACTGGTGTGTGTGGATATGTGTGTGTGTGTGTGTGTGTGTGTGTGTGTGTGTGTCCTTTACGGCCATCAGGTTATTATACACCAACAGATGGAGCATTACCTTTTATTGCTCACACCGTCTGTGAGTTTTCCCACTTTCCCCCCCAAAAAACACCTTTTTTATGTAGATGTGAAAGTGAGTGTTCAGCTGCGTACAGCTGTTTCGGCTCTGATGAGGAGCATGATAGAGAGGAAGACGCGAGGGTGGGGTGAAAAAGGCTGAGACAGCCCTCAGTTTTTGGGAAGTGATGTCAAATGACATCAGCACATAATGGTTTACTGTAACCATGAATCACAGAAAAACACATTAATGCGTTAGACAGAAAGGAAAAGAGAATGTCACTATATGAGGTAACATCTCAAAAATAGCACAGCAGTGAACAAGGACACATGGCTGTCTATGTGGACAGGTAGATGAGTCGTCCAGCACTGTTTTTGTTTTGATCTTAGCTACACCTTCAGGCTTGGGTGTCATACTGATTTGTATTGAGGTCAGCTAAACTTCTAGAAGCTATTAGCGGTTTGCTTTGTTGTTTGTATCTTAAAAGGTACACTCTGTGCTCTGTCATTCAGCTTCACATTATTTGGAGTTCTGTAGCGGGCGCTAAAGAGGGGGACAGACAGGAAGTTTTGGCATGCCTCCCAGTTGCAGACGTCTGTCATTCCTCAACTCAACACTTGTGTGTGTGTTTATTTGTCTGTGTGTGTGCGTGCATGTATGTGTGTAGGGATGTGTTTGAGTTATGGTCGGGAAATATGTTACAATAACTTGAAACTTGCTGGCCTTTTATAAAAACCTGTCTACTGATGAAGTGCTAGTGTTTAAAAGTACAAATTGTTATTATAAGGCCACAGTTTTAGACTTCTATTTTCTATTTATTTTTTCCAACAAAACCACAGTGAGTTTAGCACTCTATAACTAAAAGGAAACTTGTTTTAGCCCCATTGAAACTTGAGTGTCTTTGTGTGTTTTCATTTGCCACCCTAGCATTTCAGTCAAAGTTTAACTTCACACCTGGCAACATCTGGTCTCGAATACAGAAAATAAATGACTTGCCAAGATTTATAACCATACCATTTTCACAGAACTAAAATTCGACCTTGCTTGTTTTCACAAAGCTGTTCCATGAACAGAAACCTGTCCCACGGAAGCCTTAAAAAGGTGTAAATCATGTGATCTAAGTCTGACTTGGTAAAACAAATGTAAGGATCATAACTCTAAAGTGTTGTTGTTGTAATACTCTTTTCAGCCACAACAAGCTTAAGTGCACCTCTACACCATATTCTAATTATGAATAAAAGCATTGTTTTCTTCCAGGTGAGTTAGAAATGGGGTAGTGGTGCACCACAGTCTCATAAGACCAAAACAAGTATAACAACAAACACTTGAATTCAGTTACATTTGTGTTATTTAATTAACAAATACAGTCCCCCTGCTTCCACTCCTACTGCTATTTATTAAATGTTTTACTTTATTATTTGCCCCTTTTGTTTGTTTGTTTGTTTGTTTGTTTGTTTGTTTACCATTATTATTATTATTAATTTAGAAAAAAAGAAACTTAGAAAAAAGTATTCTGGTTTAACTATTTCTCCCACTTGTTTTTAGAGAACTTTTAAAACATTAATCCACCTGTTATTTAGTCATAAACACAGATCCCAAAACGATTCTGATCAGACTATGAAAATAAATCCCCAGAATTTGTTTTTATTAACTTGCCTCTAAGGGCTTCTGTGACTGTGAAGTTTTGTTTTCCAACAGAGCTGCTAAACAATTTTATGACTGGCTCACATTAATAAGTATTGGTAATAAGTCTGAATTCTCTGTCTTTTCCAGGTCGGAAGCCATTCCAGTGCAGGTACTGCCCCTACAGCGCCTCCCAGAAGGGCAACCTGAAGACCCATGTCCTGTGTGTCCACCGCAAGCCCTTTGACAACAGCCTCTACCCCGACCGCCGCCTGCGACGCTCGCACCAGCCACAGAGGCCCTCCAGATTGCCTCAGAGCATCATGGGAGATAATCGTGTGATCACATCACTCTGTGGGACTTGATGTTGTCATGGCAACAGCAGATACAGACAGTCATGCTTATTGTTTTAGCTTCACCTCGAAGGGGTTAGGATGATTGAAAATGTAAAAAAAAAATGTTAACAACCAACCTTGATGTACATTCCAGTGTTTACTTGAAGAGCCACAGTATGTATTTATCTGTAGCAAAGAAGCTGCCTATAATAATAATAATAAAGTCCGTTGTGATGTGAAAGTGTAGCGAGGGTATTTAGTGCCGTTCATTTTGTCAAAAGTGTCAAAACGATTTACTTGTGCTTACATGCATCTATCAGTTCAACACTTGTGTGATAGGGAGAATGTACCATGCCTGCCCAAAGCACTTGTTCTTTCATCCAGTAAATACCCTGTGTTACATTTTTGTAAATATCGCTCGACTTCCCTTCCAGTCCAGAAGTCCTGTCTATCTGTCAGGATATGGTGCCAGATGTTCGGGCTTTAATCGCGGCAGATGTAATGAAGTAGAATGTTGCACATCGGAGCTTCCATTTGTTCTGGATTCCACTCCAGGGAGAAAGCCTCTCTCACATATAATTATTGCCCATTAACTCCTATGCTTCATGCCCTCGTGCTGGAACAATGCTCAATTAAGGGGAACCAAGGAAATGGAAAACCTGCAGAGATGCATTGATAGTACGTTGAAATCCTTTTTTTCTCTACTTTTGCTATACAATTGAGTGTCACCACCAATGTGTGCATGCACCAGATCTACCCACTTGTATGATAGTCCCAATCAGCATGGCTATTGTATGCAGCTACTATATGGTAATTTTAGCATGATCTGAGCAGCTTCGGCCTCCTGTGCCAAAAGTCTGCCCGTACATCCAGAGATCACCTTGGGCAGCTGTGTGCCTGTTCAGCCAGGGCCTTGTAGCCACAGCGATGTGACTCTGACTGACAGTCGGCCTGACAACTCCATTCATGCGCCACCTGCTAGCTGTCAATCAGGGTGGCCATCCTGGGGCTATTGACGGAGCTGTCAGCCTGTGTGAGATGTGTCTGTCAAAGCCCACCCACTCTGCCACTCTGTCTCCCTGCCTGGGCAGTCTGACATTCGTTTACTGTCCCCCTTCCATCCCTTCCATCTCTTTCTCTTTCTTCCACTCTGTCTGTCCGTCTCCTGCCTGTTTCCCTTCAGAGACATGCCAGCCCCTTAATCCCCGATCCAATCACAGATTATTTGGGTACACATTTGTCATCCTCAAACCCTCTGGACTTCTTCACATCACTTCTACAGGCCTCATATACATGTGTTTTCTATCGCTGCTACTTGTGTTTGCACTGTACGCCAATGTCACCAATCCTTTCTCTCCTCTGTTTCCCCTTACATTTATCTATCATCTCTTGTTCTGCTGCACCTTTGCTCACTCACCCTCTGGCTGACAGGTGACAAGTTCTGAGCCTCCAGCTGACTGGCTAATCGGAGACCTTCATACCTGTCAATAGTTTTTCAGAGCCATGCCAAGCCACATCAGGCCAGCCCAGACCATCTTGTGAGTTGACCAAGGGCACAGAGTTTTGCAGCAAGTGGAGGAAATTCTCCCAAAAAACTCAGCAATGTAGGAATTTCTGTCACTTGCACCCCTCCAACAGCCCTCTGGATATGGATCATCCCTAAGGCCTCATCCTGTCAAACTTCCTAATTAAGCACAGTTTCCCTTAAAGCAGGGCCCTTTAATTAATGCCGGGGAAGTTTGTTAATTACTCCTAACGGTGATGAATGCTTTAGTTAACGTCTCACAACCATGGTCAATGTCATACTCAGGTTTTTTTTGCTGCTTTGTTATCTTTTTTACTCATTGCTCCCAGCGCTGTTTTACGTTTGAACTCAAGGACTCATCGTGTCATCGCTTTATCTAAAGTTTGCATGTTATCACACAGTACATTTCTCTGAGTAAAATTGACTCAAATTGAAGACAATTTTACATTTGGTCCCAACCTATATAGAGTAAAATGTACTCTTTGTTCAGAGTTGTATTTTTAGAGTTCATTTTACTCTATAATGTGCTTAGATTTGACTCTGCTTAATGGTTATTTACTCTATGTAGTGTATATTAAAAACAACTCTACTGCCATTTTACTCATAATAGAAGGCAATTTTACTCCCAATCGAACGTAATTTCACTCCAACTAGAAGGTAATTTTACTCCCAATAGAAGGTCATTTTACTCAGAATAGAATAAATGAACCATAATGATCTTTACAATAAAAAAGGTCAGTAAACCAAAGTGCTTAAGGAACATGAGTGGGCGTGTGTGAAGCTGACCATTGAGCGGCCCGACCAAGCAAGGAGGCAGAGGCAGAGAGTTCAAATGCAACCCGGTGTGGGCATTTATTCCTCTTTGTGGTACAGGATACACAGCCTCAATATGACTCTTTCACATGAACACAGTCACCAGCAACAAGGATCTCACACACAGGGGCCGTTTCTCAATCTCGAGGATATTGGCTTCCAAGCCAATATTTCAAGGATATTACATCATCGAGTGCCGCCGAAGGACTGTTCCAATCTCCAGCATACTTGGAATTCCACCGAGGCCGCGTCCTTGGTTTGGGGGAAATTTCGAGGCTGCACATGGGTAGACTTTGCGTCCTTAAAATCCCCACAATGCTTTGCGCACGGACCAATTTCAAAAACCCTTGCGGAGAATGGCTGAACCGACGCAGCACACATTTAAATGTAAGTATGTAGTGGCGTAGAACATGTGTTGGTAAATATGTTACTTTGTTACATTTGTTTGTTATCACCAAAAATGTGTTCCGTGAAAGTAAAGCAAGTTCATAATTAGATAGACATTGTGAGGTATTTATTTTCGGTACAGTTTATGTTGAAACCGTTAGAGAGAGTGGCACACTTGTTAGTCTGTTCCATTCTTCATCGTTTTCCGAAGCCGTGGCTTGGAAGTATACTGGCTTCGTTTCTGAAGGAAGTGACTTGAAAGTACGCGACTACCAAGCCAGCATCCTCACGATTGAGAAACGGCCACACACTAAGGCAAGGCAAGTTTATTTATATCGCACTTTTCAACACAAGACAATTCAAAGTGCTTTACAAAAAATGAAAGACATTAAGAAAATGGCATTTAAAATCAGTCATTAAAAAGAAAAGCTAATCAAATAAACATTAAAATAAAAAATACATGGATAAAAGTTACAGTGCAGTTTAAGATATGAATAGTTCAATTAAAAGCAGCGACAAAACTAACAGGAAAACAGAACCTAAATACACACAGGACTAATCAAACCAACAAGACACAGGTGAGGAGGGAGGAGAAAACACCCGTCTTGTCTGTTGCTGGTGATTGCGTTCACCTGGTGCCCTACCAGGTGAACACAATCACCAGCAACAGACAAGACGGGAGGGGGAACACTTTTCAAACTACAACAGGAAACAGAGACAGACAAACTAAAACACAGACGGATCGCGACAAACAGATGCTTAAATTACATATAATCACATGCTTCCGGTGCAATGTTTTAGCGTGGAACAAAGTAATATACTTCGCCAATAATGAAGCTATATAATCCGTAACGGACACCGAGATCTATGGCCCCAGAGATCACCTCCGTTACAGCGTGGTCATGGTTTAACTCCAATAGAATTGACTCTGCATTTTTGATTGCACTCTAGAAGCTATGAGTAATAAATACACTCCAAAATGATTAAATATCACTATTTTAGAGCAAAAATAGTAATTACTCTGGAAAAAATACTCACCAATATTTCCTGTGCTGTTTCCATCATGCCTCCACAGCCTGATTAGCTTGACAGATGAGTGAAATACACGGATGCTTAATTCCTGTATTTTTTCCACCTAGCTCTGGCTCACCTTGACCTTTTGCTTAGAATGACATCCTGTTTACCTGCAGTAAATCAATCCTCATTCTATGGCACCTATAAATAACTCTTCTCAGGAGAAAAGGCGGACATGTCAGCCTATGTTGGAAATGGTTGTCAGCATGGGTTTTATTATCAACCCCTGTTTAGAATAATGTCAGTTTAAATTGAAAATACAGATCATGAGAAACATACTTTTTAGTGCTTCTTCACCCCACCTTTGAGTATCTTGAATGCATGCCAACCCACAAATTGGTTAATAAGACAACTATAGTTAATTTCTATGTGGGCTGCCTTGGTCAGGAAATATTGGAATCAAGAAGCTATTCAGATTGGTATCCCCTTCCTATGTCACCTACAAGCTCATTACAATATACAGCTCTCTGTCTGAGTATCTCGCTAACTATTTGTTCGTTTTTTCTCCCAGCCAATCAGAGCAGAGATGGACTTAAAGAGACAGGCACTTAAACAGAGTGTTTTAGACAGAGTGGGAAGACCAGTATATTCAGGAAGATAGTTTGAGAGAAATACTATGTTGTTTATTTAAACCAAAATGTTTTAAACATTATTCAGTAGAAGCACAATATGAAACTTAAAATGTGGATGATATTCCCCCTTTAAGTCAAATGTTCATGTAAAAGTGAAATCATGCTAATTGGCTGTTAATGAAAATTATCACCTCAATCTTCTTTTTTCCTTTTTCGACATGCTCCTCTTCATTATCCCTCCCATCATTATTACTGTTTACAGTTGCTTATCTGCAGACCATGTTTGAGGTCTCTTTCCCAGCCTCATTGAGAGAGGCGGGCCATGTACAGCTAATCAGCTTGAATAAGTAAAGGAAACACTTTGACAGGCCAGGTAATGAGAAGTAATGAATCACTAATCACAGTCTCCTACAACCCTTGGAGCACAGATGAAAAATTAAAGGTAATTAGCTTGCACAGTTGTGAAAACAATATTTAAGACTGTTGGCATTACATGGCACAGACTTAACAGATTTTCTCTGCCGACAACATACATCAACACGGCGCTGAAGTCCTAATATCAAGCTGTTATTGGAAAAGCTTTCTCGATGTTATTTTAGTGACTGATCTGATCAGGGTATTAAAGTCCCAATTTTTTCTCTCTCACAAAAGCAATCTCTCCAAAACGCACGCATGAAAAATGCTTCACTTAGTTTTACCCTAAGGATTTTGTCTACTGAGGGAAAGAAGGAACACGCCAGCAACATGCTTCTGAAACTCAGCTTTGGTAAAAGAAATACTGAGGAACAGCGGAGTGTGAGATAATATTCATTCTCTACTTCACACACACACACACACACACACACACACACACACACACAC